CAATTTTTTTTTTTCCTTAAGTGTTAGAAGAGAGAAAGGGCCCTGTACTGTGCTCAGCCTGAGGCCCTGTTGCCCGCCTGAACTCGTAACTACGTTTAAGTCTAAAACCTAAGAGACTCCTGGTCAAAAGTGACCAGCTCTTAGATGGGGTGCTTGTGGGGCTCTTCCCTCATTGACTCTTCGCCATGAACCAATTTTCAAAGGGAGAGGCAACTTCAAAGCCAACTTCTTACAACATTTAATGCTTTTAGGGCTGGGATAGACCGAGGCCACAGGGGAAACCAGCAAAGGGTGTAACATCAGGAAGCCATTGGTCTTCAACAGCTGGACTAGAGGTGCTGGACCACAAGCTCAGTAGGAACATTCTTTCTCTTTTGCTCAATGTCTTAGCACATACTAGAAACACATCACTTCCTTACACCCGGAATTGCTGCTGTTCCTTCTTCTTTACTTCTGCCCAGATATCTGACAAGTCTTGTATAAATTGCTGGATCTAGCAAGACAAGGAGACAGCATTAGCCTCACTCAGCAAACACTCCCTAAGTCCTAAAATGGAGCATCCCCTTGCAAGAAAGTTCATCCATCTCATTCTTGGCTTCCAGAGGTGGCTGCATTGTCTCCTTTCACAGATTTTCTAGGTGACTTTAAGAATCAGGCTTAGCCAGCATTATTTGTAATAGCCAGAAACTGGAAGCAGCCTAGATGCCCCTCAACTGAAGAATGGATACAGAAAATGTGGTACATTTACACAATGGAGTACTACTCAGCAGAAAAAAAAAAAAAAAATGGAATCTTGAAATTTGAAGGAAAATGGATGGAACTCGAAGAAACCATTCTGAGTGAGGTAACTCAATCACAAAAAGACAAACATGATGTTTACTCACTCATATGTGGACTTGCTTTATGATATATAGTAGTGACCGTGCTTTATCAGAGCTGTTTTTAATGATGTTGCTTAGAATGGTTTCCTTCCAGATGATGATTAAAAAGCTAATTAAAAAAAAATGGTGCCAGGTACCACAAGGGTAACAGAACTGTGCTGTTTTTCTGGGATTTTGTTTTTTACTTTTTTTTTTTTAATGTAGAGTGCTGGATGTCTCTACAATTTTGTTTAAATGACTGTAGAACCTGGAAAAGCTGTTGCTGCTATTGATGCATAACATACTGCCAGTATTAGTCTATATACATATATATATGTTACATATATATATATATATATATATATATAATTTGAATTTTTAGAAACTTCAGGTCTTCTGTCAACTTTGGAAAAAAAGTATCCCAGTTTACCGTGTTGAGTTGGCATTATACAAAAATTAACAGCCATATTGGTCTGGAAATGTTGAACTTTATTTTTTTTTCCATTTGTACAGGGTTAATGCACTGTATTAAATATATAAGGTAGGGGCAGGTGGGATGTTGGGGGGAGGGGAGGGAGAGGGAGAAGGGATTGACATCTGAAGCAAGCTTGTTCCTAATTTGAACTAATAAAGTAAAAAAACCCAAAAAACCCCAAACCAAACAAACAAACAAAAGAATCAGGCTTAGCAAACGTTTTAATTACCTTTCCCTCGATATGCTCAAAATACGTGACAGAAGCAACTTAAAGGGGGCTTATGCTTTCAAAGGCTTGCACTCCACCGTAGAAGATATGGCTGGGTGGAGACAGAAGCATGTAGCAGTGGCTGGTCACATGGAGGGGACCAGGGAAGCAGAGAGTGTGGCTGAAGCAGGTGGATCAGCTGTCACCTTCAAAGTCCTGTACCTAGTGACCTACTTCTGCCAGGCAGGCTCTGCTGGCAAAGGTCACACCCTCCCAAACCAGCACCATAAACACTTAGAACACATGCCCACGGGGATACTTCGGGTTCAAAGGATAACAGCAAGCTAGAGCCAGAGTCAGGATGGAGTTGGGACCTGCTTAGAAGCAGTCATGTATGTGCAGAAGGGAGACAAGAAAGCGGGTTGCAACCAACCTCAGAGTAAGGCATTTTGCAGACAGGACTATAAATAGCCCTCAGGCAACATCAAAGCAATTGAGGGAACCCAGACCTGATGTTCACTGTGATGATCTTGTGTCCTCAAGGGAAATTTAAAATTCTATTCACAGGCTTCTGTTTTAAAAGTCTGTGGTTGGAGTGACAGGGCATAGATTCAGAGGCTAAGAAGACCCAGCTGGACTCCACACTCAACAGCTCTGAAGAAATATCCGATTCCGGGGATGCAAGCCAGGGACTCACGCATGCTGGGCACATGCTGCAGCACTTAGCTGCTCACCCAGCCCAGTTTATTATTTTTAAAAGGTGACCCCAGCTCAAGGGCAGAATGTGTATTCAACCTCTCCTTTTAAACTTTCTCATGCATTGTAATTATTATTATTTTAGCTGGTCATTTGACTTCCTGACAATGCACTTACAGTCTGCAGGAATGATGATGGATATCTTAAGTATCCTTTGGGCAACATGAGGTGCCCCTGGCAAGGAAAATCAAGTGCCAGGAGCACTTCTGGAAGTTTGATTCAGAAAAATAAAACTCGTCAAGGATCCAGAATGCTCAGGGAATGCACAGGTTGGGGCAGAGAGTGGCAGGTCACCCAATCCCAGGGCATCCTTCCCCATGACAGCTACAGGACCGGAGTTGAGCACACCAGGGGATCTCAGAAACCAGGTCACCATAACGCCGAAACAGCACTTATGTCTCTTTCATCTTTTTCCCTCACAAGCACATAGTGCCATTTACCATAGCAGGGTTCCCTTGTTATCCTGTCGGAACAGAACAAGCAACAGGAACAAACAGCACAGTCTACCTGTTACTGAGCCAGACATTCAAGGGATTTGCCAAAGTGTCCAGCAATGCTACTCTCCTCACAAAAGGAGAAATTTTAATCAGCCACGCTAGTTCAAAGACTGGGGAGGTGGCTCAGCTGGTAAATTGCTTGCTACACAAGCACGGGGATTCAAGTTCAGAGCACTAGCCATAGGTTTCCCTGGAAACCTAAGAGAATGAAAACTATTTCTGAACATAGACAGGAGGGTGGATGCAATCAGCTTTCTAGGAAGGTCCCCAGCTTTGCTCCAGACCTGGGCCCAAATGGAAAAGACAGCAGCCAGACTCAGCCTCATACAGCCTCCCTCCAACAATAGAGCAGTCCCAACAATGACAACTCGAGCCCACCTGGGATCTCCTGGAGTTGTTAGCATGCATGTGGCCAACAAGGATTTTGGGTGCTAATGCAATGGTCTCAATGTGTGAAACCCTGACCAGCAGTGTAACTTGGGGAATTACTAAACATGCAAATCCATGAGTGTTCATCTTAGATTTACTGAGTTGGAGATTTGGGGTGTGCCCAGCAATTCCCCAGTCCCACCCAAAGCTGGCCC